CATTTGAGCCGTTTATTTTGAAAATGGCCTAAGTCCGTTTATTTTAAAATCCAACTATTTAAGGATTTTGCGTTTTAATAAATTTAAAAATATTGGTAACTGATACCATGGTAGTATAATAATGATCTTGTGTTTCTAAGGGTTATTGCGTTCTGGAGGCTTGCTAAAAAGAAATTATATGTAACGTAGAGATGTAAATATTAAAATAGATGGACTTAAGCCACTTTCAAAATAAACGGCTCATTTATGGAATGAATGATGCTTCGAGGAACCCTGAAATTGTATCGGGCTTCCTTAAACTGTATATTTATCCTAAATGGTTAATAACGCTGTAATGTTTACAGGCCGCAGGCGGCGTAACAGACGCAGGCACAACCACATGGTGCCATTACTGATGATGGGTTTCGTGCTGATGGGTTCTATCCTCATCCCGATGGGATTCCAGTTCTTGGCGGTGCTCGGTGGCAAAGCGTTGCTATTGGCCAAGATGGCACTGATACTTTCCAGTATACAGGGTTTGAAAAAAATTGCGACGAACGGCGTCAATTACGGGTTGTACCATACACCGGTGGATCATGGCTGGCACGACAGAAGTCACTTAGAGCCGAACTCGAACGTGGATCACTTACCGTTCCCGTTACAATATCGTCCTTAATGTTTCTGGTCACTGAACTGTAACTTTTCAAATCGAGAATCGTTTGCTGAACGGTTGCGGGACAGTTTCTCTGCATAGATTTTCCATTTATTTATTTATTATTTGTTTTCTTGAAATTCTTCTGTTTCGATGTAGAACTCTTGTCGAGTTTAGAAATTCAGGCTAGAGAATTCAGAACTGGATATTGCAATTTATATGTCGAAATGGCAGTCATTTGATTAATTAATTATTGCGAGCTATTCGTCCGGCGAACATTAATATAATATACAACTAAAATTTGGTAGAATGTTGAAAACAAATACCGTGGCATATCGTAAACTGTAAGAGCGGAGTTTGTTTAAATTTCTGACGATTCATTTAATTCTCATTTTTATAAAACAATCTCAAAAAGACTGCAGTCACTCTCCCATTTTCTTTTTTGTATTTGCTGGGGGTTTCAGTTTAACGATAAACATGTTAGATTGTCCTCTTAACTGTCCATGTTATTTCCAAAGTATGTCAAAGTGTGTAAACGAGATTCTACCTTTTTATACAAACGGCGAATCCTGCGATCGCTGAAAAGAAAAAGGAGAAAGGACGCGAAAAAGCCCTCCGTGGAGCATTAAACAATATGGTTACACTTGATAGCAGCTTGAATTTTTCTGCGGGCTGCTCTGAGTCTCTTTTCTATTTCCAAGAACTCTGTACAAGAATTATGTTTCATTTATATATATATATATATAGCGCTAAGAATAAATTTATTACTTAAGAATTAGGTTTAAGATCTCACTGTAGGACGTTTAAAAACGGCATTGTATTGGTAAAAATTCTCCCAGCAGTCCCGAAATTATGTACAATGATCACTAATTTCCCGTTTTTATTTCTTTGCGTCCACATAGGAGAATTATGTTTTATTTATTATAAAGAATAAATCTGTTGCTTAAGAGAATCCATTGTATTGTTAAGAACAATTACGACAGTATTGGAATTGTATACAACAATCATCGACCACTTATTTCTATCTTTTCCTTCATGGAGTATACTGTTAATTGAAATCATTTTCTAGAATTTGTTTGTTTAGGATACCATTGTAATAGAAGTTCATACTTTAGACTATCGCATTGGGAAAACATGGACAAACTCATGTTTTATATTAGTTATACATATCAGCAGCCTCTTTGGAGGGAATCAGTAGTATGTGACAACCTATGGCCAGACAACCGTGATAATGCAGACTGCGTGCGAGTTGGTAGAAGCGGAATGGAGGACCAGGTTGAAGAAATATGTACCTTGAATTTTGCTTTGCAGAAAGATTTATATTATATGTATTTATCTACGTATGATTTTTGCAAACTCTGGTAATAACATTTCTTGATGTTATTGCGTAGTTACCAAGATTATGCTACAACGTATTAAAAACCGTGTACCATTGTGCACCATGCTATTTAAAATATGAAAAAATATGAAATTATATTATATTATTTATTAAATTGATCAATAACGTTGAAAACAACGGAAAATAATATTTACTTGACACAGATTGTTCTCGATAATCTTTCACAAGAAATAAGATTCTTCTACAAACTCAAAACAAATTTATTAAAATACATCTAGCTTAAAGCGACAAAATTGAAATGTTTAAAAAAATGTGATATTTGAGAATCATCATTAGACCGCGGATTTTATGCATTTGTGACAAAAATGGGTAGATGAAACACAAAACAGTGACGCTGTTAGAAGAGATTAACAGTTCGTTTATATTATTTATAACCGATTAAAATGATTCAAGACCGGAACAAATAACTGTGCATATCTTGCTTCTTGAAATCAGTGCATAAAATATTTATTTTGCACAAAGATTCCGCGGTCTGGTCGCCACGATTATGACAATTTCCTGCATTTCGGTTTCTAACGTAATTTCCAATATTAAGCCATCACCCGAGTTCTCGCTTGATAAACTATATTGCAGTTTATTTTGTAAGGACGAAACGTTTCCTTCGGTTGCCGCGAAATCCTTAAGGATCGTGTAGGTCTAAGGGACGTTTTACTTGATCAAACAATCGTGGACAAAACGATCCCCGTCAGCCGGAAGTTCCACGTTGAGCATCGCCGTAAATCTTGCGGACGTGATTTCATAAAATTCAGAAACGTCCCAGTGAATAACTCAGCTACCCGTCGAATGCACCGGGTCTATTCCTGTACAGCAAAGTGTGCGAACACTTAGTATAATCGACGCTCTTCTCGGCGAATGCTTGTGAACTTCGCTTGCGACATTTTTATTCATGGCCAATTCAAATATTTATTGCTTTTCCTCCCCGACGCTTCCACGAAACGTTACGGCGCGTTGCCTTTCAATTTAAGACCGTAAGGATCATCGAACGAAACTTGGATCGCCGACAGTTGGGAATAATGTCCTGTAAATAAAAGTTGTTCAATTGTGAGAAACCAAGTTGGATGAGAAAATGTCTTTTCTCTTTTAATAACTGTGACAAATTGAAAACAACGTAACGATATCCACGACGTCATTACGTTGATTTTTGATAACCAATTATCGATAACAAGAGTGATTCTAGCGGATAAAATCATTCTTTTCCGAATGAAAAATCAAGCGTCCAACAATTTTTCTGGTTTTAATGGTTATATGGTTATATTTTAACCCCTTAATGCACAGCTTTTTTGAAAAAGGCCGGCCAAAAAAAATCAATTTTTTTTAATGTAAAAAAACACAATTTAGAACGTTGTCTTGGCAAGAAAATGACAAAAATACAAAAATATTCAATATTTATACAATTGGTATGATTTCTAATTTTCAGGATATTACTATTATTATTATTACTGTTATTATTATTATTATTATTATTATTATTATATTTTATTTTACATTATATTTTAGTAAAATATATATTGAAAAATGAGCGAATCAGAATCTGAATATGAACACGCTGTCGGAAAGCGGCTCACAAGGAAGAGATAAGTCGTAAGTGATAAGTGGAAAAAGGATATATTTTATACTTGAATAAGTAAATGTTATAGCTTACAATCCCATGTAAATGATAAATATCAATAAAACGATTGTTCTTTTTTTGCTTTCACATTGTTATTTTCAATTCTCGATTGCATTCGAGTGTGAAAAATTATAGCAACACAAAGTACAACGCCGCTCGAATTA